CAGAAGATCAGGGGTGTGGCAGAAAGACAGCAGTTAGGAGGAGCCAAGGAGTAGCAGTAGAAAGGCTGCAGAAAGAATCAGGAGCCCAGAGGAGGGAGCAAAGGAGGTGAGAGTGAGAGAGTGGGGGCAGAAAGAGAAGACGAAAGCAGACAACAGAACATTGCTAAGGAACAGGAAAGGAGGTGAAAAGAGACAATTTTAGAGAAGAAATTTTTGCGGTCGCTACCCGGATTCGAATCCGGGACCTTTGAATGAGAGGCCAACATTTTTTTGTTCGTAGTAGGAGTTTTACGGCGCTCGCAACTGCATAAGGTCATATGAGCGAGCGAAACACAAGCTGGTTGCATTCACAACAGTTCACTGCACGGCTGGAATAAGATTTTAAAATGTTAAAATGTTAAAAATTTGAGGTAAATAAGTTCTTTGTTTTTTAAATGACTTTTAAATAACATTTTTAAAATGCATAACAATTTTATTCATAATTTGCCGTAAAGGCCTGTAGGGATCAACTACGGAAAACAGATCTTGCAATTTTTTGCATCTAAAATATTCCCTTCGGGTTTCTCCAAAGTCTAGACATTCGGTTAAAATGTGTCTAATGGTAAAATCTGTGTTGCGTAATCGAATAAAAATGACTTCCTCTCTTCTGGAGAGGCCCGAAGGATTTCGCGGTCTCAGTTTGGACTTAATGTTGTGAAATTTGTTGTTTAATTGCTTTTTCCAAATGAGTCTCCCACAGACTGGAAGTGTAGTTTTTTACTTTATTTTTAACGTCAGTCTGCAGGAGAGTGTTCGTCGTTGATCCCAACAGAAGGGACAAGGATTCTTTCGCCAGGAGGTCCACTTACTCGTTTTCTCGGATGCCCACATGGCTAGGTAGCCATGCGAACACGATATTTTTCACGGTTTCAACCAAAGCGTGTATTTTTGGTTGTAACCTAACTTTTTTTTTTGGGGGGGGGGGTGTAAGAGTGTGTAATTTGTAAGTGAAGTGATGCAAGACAGAAAGACTGATAGGATAGGGAAAGATTTGTTAGGAGAATTTTCTACGGAGTCCAATGCCATGTCAATGGCACTGGACTCTGCAGAGAAAATAGAGGCTTCAGGATGGAGTCTCCTCTAGTGTGTACTGTTTGAGGATAGGGATGCGGCGCTCACAGCGGAGTCCGATTGAGAGCCATCTGTGAAGATTAGCTCCGCACCGGGGTATATGTTTCTATAAGTTTGTTGTTGTTTTGTTGTTGTTGTTGTTGTTGTTGTTGTTGTATTCTGCTTTAAATGTTTCGGTGTTTGTGCTTGCTTTATTGTGTATGGTCAGCTGTAAATCTACTTTTGCCTTGGTTAGGTGCCACGGAGGGAGGTCGGGGAAAAAGAAATTCTTGGATGTCTTGTTTGGAAAAGTGTAGAATCTATGTTTTTAAGGTCCTCAAGGATGAGTTTTTCCTTGTTTTGTAATTTGTTTACGGGGTCTGAAAATATAGTCGTGTGCTGGGTTCTCTGGTGTTGAGCTTTGTTTAATTGTGTATTGTAGTGATAGTAGTGTGCGTCTGAGTGAGAGTGGTGGTATGTTTGCCTCGGCGTGGATGCTCTCCACTGGAGAAGTGCGGAAAGCTCCCAGGGCGAGGCGGGTCCTTGGTTTTGTACTGGGTCTAGCATTTTCAGGACGTAGGATTTTGCCTATCCATAGACCTGACAGTCGTAGTCAAGCTCTGGTCGGACAAGGGAACAGTAAAGGTGGAGAAGTGTTTGTTTTGAAGGAGCGGTTCTTCGGGTAATTAACCCTCCCCCCCCCCACACACACACACCAACCAACTTAACTTAGTGCATTTAGAATATTTCTTTTGGATTTTTCCTAAGTCCGAACATTATGTTAGAATGTTCCTGACCGTAAAGACGCCTTCGCATCCGACACAAATGGTATGCAGACACAGTAATCATTACCTCGAGTCATAACAATAGATTCACATTTTAATAAGCGCAGAAAGAGCTGAGGTTACAAAAACGATCATATTTCAGCCACTTTTTCCACACCTACAAAATACTGATCGGAATATTTTTCTGAAGCCGGGATTGAAATGGTAGTAAACCAAGGTGTTGGCAGAAGAGTTGATGACCTGGAACAAGAAAATAAATATTTTCACCAGATCCATCACATTGTTGCAACGTTTGAAAACATTCAGATCGGGATTAGACAGGATATAGGTGTAGACGCCTGCCATTCTCGTAGCGTTACACACCAGAAAAATGATCGCAAGGGCCGATACAGTTTTGATCACACGTCGGTTTTGGAGGGTCAGAGAGCTGTCTTTTGTCTGGGTATCTGTCATTTCATGAGTTTTTATCTGAATCCTGTTTTGTCGGTTTGTCTTATGGTCTTTCATTGGATGGTCTGCTGTCTGATGTTCTCTATTAAATTTTGGATAATCTTCAGCAGGATGGTCTTGTGTTCTGGATTCAAAAGTCTCCCCGTTTTCACGGGATTGGCTGTCAGTACGACGTTGTGGGACTTGTGCTGACTTGCAATTCCCAGTAGCTTTGTCAACAGTTTCTTTTCCCTTCCTAAACTCTGAGGATCTCTTGAGTCCGATGACCATAACCTGGGTGCAGATCAGAACGATGACCTGATACAACGTAGTCATTACAACGTGCATGAAAGTGTTTAAATAGAGTTCAATCGCCATTCTATCATCAGACAACCACATAAAGATCCTGGATGAGTTAGTGACGGGGTCGTGACGCCAGTGTAGACCGCTCGTCACAAAATGTGGGACGTATGCTGCTATAGTACACGCGTATAGGAAAATCACGACAAAAAGAGATCTCCGAAATGTGAAGAGGTCTTTAAACTTAAAAGGCATCGCTACACAGAGGCAGCGTTCTAGGGTGACAAAGACGATGATTCCTTGGGAAATGTCGTAACATAAGATACAGCCGTGGGTGATAATATACGTGAAACCAAAAGGATCAATAATGGTATCTTCATCCAAATAGTTGGTGAAATAAAATATTTGAATCGCAAATCCGTGTAGAACGCTGCCTAAATCCGAGATGGTGAGGGCGAGAAGACAGACAGACACACAGTCTTTTACGCCTTGTTTGAGAAATATGATAATGTTGATCAAGTTTGCTGCGATTCCCAGAAGTGTCATAGGTCCCGTGATCAACATGTACATGTACAGCTCAACCTGCTCACGAACATTTTCACTTATAGTGCACATATCTTTTAATTTTAATACACTATAGCCAGGCTAAAACAACATCAAAACGCAATATCTTGTGCCTTTGAAGATAAAACAACGAATTGACTACGATACTATATGAGGGAGGTGACGTTATCGAAAATCTCTCCACGGTCAAGAGGAAGACCAAATGATCATTGTTTTTCTTTGAATGTTCGTTCAGTAAACACTCCCTACCGAAAAGAAAGAACAGGTACTCTAAAATATTGCCGTTGTAAATGACTGCGTGAGCATTCCGTACAAATGTACTTTTATAAACTAGGAATGAAATTACAGTTTTCGGAGAGAAAAATCAAATAGAACCATTACTTAGATTTCTTCCCAAAAAAGTTACTGTGTGGAACAAAATACTTGGACTCTTACGATTTCACCATAGACAACCAACACGCTGTTGAGCTGCAGTCATGAAGATTTAAGTTTTGGCCTGCTAATTTTATAACATTTTCATATCGTTTTCCAGCGACAAATTACTGAACGACTTTTCTTTAATGAAAGACAAAGAGATTATTGCACATTACACCACCAAGAAAGAAAGCGTACGTCAAATAATCCTTCTTTACCTTAGATATCAATTCCATGTGAAGCGAACTGATAATTTCGCCAATGCACACAACAGCTTCTCCCAGGGAAAGACAGACTTCTACAATAATTGTTCTAATTTTCGCCAACATTTTGTGAAATTGGTCACGGGTATCGATTTTAAGAACGGTATCCATATTCCTAGTGCGACATCATTTAGAGTATGCTTGCACACCAAGCATTGAATAATATTAATTAACACTATTCACACACACAAAAATTAATTATATTAGAATCCTTTATGCAACGTAATAAAATAATGTAGACTACATTTACGCGTGACGATGACGTAATGTATACACAATGACTGCACTATCTAGACCAAGTTTCCCCGTTCCTTTATCTACACGTTGGGACTAAGTTTGTTAAATAAGATGCGTTATTATACAACAATCAATCGATTATCTCAACTGCAGATTCCTCAAGCCCACGAACGTCCTAGAAAGATGTATCTTATGAGTTTTTAGCGCCGTTCACATTAATTCATTTAGTCTGTATCTGATACATAATTTCGGTTCTTTCTCTGTTGAGACAAAAAAAAGATAAAAATTATTTAACCATATTAATTTGACATAACTACCCCACCCCTCTAAAATGTTATTGCATCCTAAATATAAATGAGTTTGAATCACGCCTAGAAGTAATCTAAACTTACCCATTGGTAATTGATGTATTAAAATACTGAGATTATTCTTACAATAGTACGGATGTGGTAAGGTTATTTTGGGACAAAAAAGAAGACTGAAGGGTGAGAGATACGTATAAAGAGATAAATTGACAGACAGCCCCAGAGAGAGAGAGAGAGAGAGAGAGAGAGAGAGAGAGAAAGAGAGAGAGAGAGAGAGAGAGAGAGAGAGACGGGGGGGGGATAGAAGAGAGATAGGGTGGTGGTTGCTCTGTATCCTCGACTTAGTTAAGTTTAGTTTAGTAAGAGTTTCACGACGCTCGCAACTACATAAGGTCATATGAGAGCGCGAAACACAAGTTGGTTGCTTTCACAACAGTTCACAGCACGGCTTGGTTTAGGTCAATGGTTCCATTAAAATATCAAAAATTCGTGGTAAAATATTCAATCTAAAAGTAACAGTTTACTTTAAATTAAACAACAGTATTTACTAAATATTGTAAAGGCCAATGTTAATGGCCCTTATACAATCGAGAATTTAGTTGAGATCAACGATGTTACAAGATAGCAACAAACACAAAAAGAAAGAGGAGAGATAAGGACGATAGATGTTTGATAGAAAAGGAGCAAACCACACTAGAACGCCCGCCAACCACCCACTATCTGATTCTAGACTTCATCTGCATGGGACAGCGTCGTTGGTAAAGTATCAATTGACAACACACAGGTTTCATGTTTCTACATAGCGAGTGCACTTCGAGACTTTGCGTGTATGTGTATGTATGTGTGTGTGTGTGTGTGTGTGTGTGTGTG